TCGTGCAGGTCACGGGTTCAACTCCAGGGAACTGTGCAGATACTGTACACAGGTAAGCTGAGGTCAAGGGATCGACCCCTGGGATCTGCATCGGTACTGCCAAAGGTGAAAACTGTTTCAGGATTGAAAACGGAAGCAGCTCTTCCTCTATTGCAGACCATGAATGACCGCTGAGATGAGCTAATCCAAATACGAAACAGTTTTACCTCTAGTATAGCAAACGACACAGTGACAGCGAAGTATAGATCTGTTTTTTTTTTTTTTTTTTTAAATGTGGTCCGATGGACCACGGATCAGATATTAAACTGACCAGAACAGATACTACATTTGATCTTAGCCAAAAGGCCGAGAAAAAGATCTGTTATATCCCTTTCATGCCTAATATGCCTATCATTACTTTGGCTTTCTTTGGAGGACCCTTTTTATATTATCTTCTTTGAAATCCCTTTTTGCTGCGCCTCTCGCGTACAAGGCTGGCCATGTTGATTGTGGTTTAGTGCGAGCTGCACGCATCCCCACCCACTTGCACACTACGAAAGAAGGCCGAGTAAGGGCCGATGTATACTCCTGTCCATTTTTCTTCAGATCTTCAGCTTTTATTTTGCCTGACAGACTGTAACAGTGTTATCTTATGACACTCATTCGTGTGCATTGACTTGTAGTACGCTAGATGAGGGAGGAAGGAAATGGGCAGGGGTTGGAGGTCTATAGGTAGTGAGGCATGGGGGAGGGGGTACTAGGGGGAAGAGGGGTGGGGGATGGAGAAGGTGGAGACTCTGGAGAGGGAGGAGGGAAGAGGATGGGCAACAAACAGAACTGTTAAAAAGGAGAGAGAAACTTCAGAGGGACCGGTTCCCAATACTGAGTCTCACCGCTTGTCAGCACTTGAGCAGACTACTCTAGCATGGCACAAGAGGGCCAAGAGGCCGATCAGTGTCTGGGTTGCAGGACGTGTCGAGTACCTTGAGTTGAGCAGGAGCCGTTCGTTGCCTATGGCACTAAGTAGCCACCTCTAAAGACCAGACAGGACCGGTTGGGGTGTCGACTGATGCAAGCACCGCATCCAGTTCTCGTAGTTGCAGTTGTTGCGCCCAATGGTACAGCATAGACAGATGGCAACAGGCTATATGGTGCCCACATGCTCGGAACAGGCGTTGTCGTTCCCGCCCCTGTCTACAAACCGGACATGACACGTCAGGGTGCCGTACATGAGTGCAATGTTGAGTCAGACTGCCATCGTACGAAATGAAAAAAAAAAAAAACTTGCATGGGATATGCCTTCATAATCCTCATGACACAAAGCAATGCCATGCCATGCGAATCACAATGCCAGGCGAATCTCAGGCGGGCCATCACAGAGCGCATTGAGCAAGCTTCTTGGGTTTCTGGAGTCGTTCTTCCCACTCTATGGGCAGGTGATGGCGGTGGCTGATGCAAAGTAAGGGTGTTTAGCTGTTGCAACTTGCAAGGTTTGGTCCGCAACAGCTCGCCTTGGCGGCGATACTAGACTTTCAGTGGAGCGAATCGAATGGCGGCCGAATCGAATGGCGCTGGTTCATCTAACTTCATCACAGAGTGGCAATGAGAAGTTTCTTGGGTTTCTGCAGTGTCATTATTCCTCACTCTATGGGCAGGTGACGACGGGGGACTGATCCGAAGTACGGGTGTTTAACTGTTGCAAGATTTGGTCCTGCAACCGCTCGCCTTGGCAAGTTGGGAGCGATAACCTTTCAGTGCAGCACACTGTAGGTGGCTTATGTGACAGTCTATTTTCCACCTTGGGCTCCTGTGCCTGTCGTTAGTCTGGCAAGGATGGAGGGGATCCGACTGTGGGTGTGCAGCAGGAGAGGAGTATGCCCAACTCTGCATGCTGGACATGCCACGAGAGGCTGTGCTGCATGATGGCATCAGGGATAGTCCGTGCTGCAGAGACCCGTGTGGGTTAGCCCCAGGTTAGGGCCCCGTGGTATGCACCACACGGGCCCCTAAGCTTGGGCCCGTAGTAGGGTTAGCCACAGGCTAGGGGTCGTTAGTCCTCCTTTCCAAGCCTCAACACTCTCCTAATAGCCAGAGTCAGTCCCCTCCCTCTAGCCCGCAGATGGGCGTCTTATTTGCCAAATTGCCACTTCTCAGCTGGGCGCCATTCTGCATTTTGCCACTGCCTCCAGTTCAGAGGGCCTGGCTCACTTCAGCAGGAGGCCAAGCAGTATATATAGCTGGGCCAGCCTCATTCGGACACAGAGAGTTGGAGGTCCAGTTCTTCACTCTGCTGGGCAGCGCTACTCCAGACACAGTTGGAGTAGAGTAGTTGACGCGCTAGGCGCAGTAGTAGTAGACTTCAGCACTGGGCGCTCCTTATGTGGACGACAGCAGCTTCGAGCTTGGGCTGCAGTACTCTGCAAGGAGTAGAGGATGAGGTGGAGGCCAGGGGACTTACCTGTGACGCCATATCTTCAGCTTGAAGTTCGTCTTCAACAACTCTGTACCTGCATCAAGGCACCACCTTCTGCAGGCCAGTATCTGGCTACATCAGACAGACACAGAGAGAGAGAGAGAGAGAGAGAGAGAGAGAGAGAGAGAGAGAGAGAGAGAGAGAGAGAGAGAGTTGA